GCACCATTCTAATGCACACGACGGCCGGAGAGCTCCTGCGACGGTGGGGCAGTCGGCAACGCGTGTCGCAGTTGTTGATGAGTCGCGAGTGTGTTGTGATGGCGATTTACGGTCATCACAGCTTCGTCACGCTAACTACTACGGCAAACCAGCTCGACGAAGCCGTAGCTGATGACAAGTGAGTTGCTACTTCTAATCTCGCATATGAGAAACTCATATATTCTTTTTTAGGGTAGAGTGTGCTTGTCTGACGAGAGATGGAGAATACGTGATCACAGGATCGGAAAACGGTCGTTGTACAGTGTGGCGGCTGTTCCCGTTGCAAAAACTGTATGCCTTCCAGGTTCGCATATTTCTGATATCTTCTTTTTCGCTTCTCAAAACGCTTTGTATGACTCATTCAAGGGGAAAGGATGTAGCTGAAGTTTTGATTGCATAGCTCGAAGGCCATCCTGGAAATAAGTTTCCTATATTTTCGTTCATAAAAACAACATATCGTCATTCGTGGATCTGTTTTTATAGGCGCGGTGATAGTTTTACTGCGCTAGTGGCGCAAGCTGGCAAACATATCCTCCAGGAACCGTTGGTAACTCATCTTCCACTTAGATTGAACCCCTTTTCAGTTTAAGATGGAAGGGTAGACCATGTGCAGAAGTGGCGGGCGTTTTGATAAGGTTTAGGCGCTAGGAGCCTAGGTTGGAGCATTGGCGCCGCCCCAACCCCATTGAGCCCGCCCACGTCCTACGTGATCTTCCAAACAACCACCTGGAACGCTAGATGTTAAGCCGTTGTTTGGAAAGTCGTAGGGGAATATTTAGCGGATTTCAACTGCGAAAATCAACATCAAAGCCTATGTTACGACCATTTTCGAGAACGTTGTCATCATTCTAGTGAGAAGAAAAATTTTAAGATAGGAAGCAAACAAAAAAGCACAGAAAAATAGAAATAGGGAAACTAGAAAAAATCAGTTTTCATTGCTGACTTTTTGTGGCCGTGTCGGTTGATGGCACAAAGCCAACAGTTGCTGTAGACATGTCCAAACACGTAATTTCCCAGCCCTGGTTCGTAAGCGACTAACGAAGAGGAATTTCTAATTTTGGAGTTCTTTGGAGGTATTTCCTGCTTTTTTCATTACCTTCGATCAACTTAGCACCCAGCTCTTCATACTCGAACAGGTGAGTCCCTCGTTTTATCCCGGAGTTTGCCTTTAAATAATCGTAGTAAGAAGCTTTGTTAGAACTTCACATTTGAGACGTGGGCACCGTAAACTACCAATACGTCTCCGAAGCCGTTGACCCGAATTTCGACATAGTACGAGTGGAAGGCAGTTTCCAAACCTCGAAGGAAGTGGTCGGGATAAATCTCATGCGGACATGGGCAAGTAACATAGTGGATTGGGTAGGAGTCTTATCCAATGAGCCGACAGTCGAAACTTCAGGACCAGGGGGTTTCAGACGTGGAAGGGGTTGCAACGGCAGAGTACATGGTATTATGCCGTCGTCACTATCGTCCAATTTTTATTGTGGAATGTGCCTCATCACCAAGCAGCCGTATCTTCTTATTTTTCATGGGGTTACGCTCGTTCTCCCCCTGCTCTCATCACGAGTCCTTCTGTTTATAACGCCTGTTCACCATACAGAAAATGAATATTTATTAAGCATGTGTAGGCCTTATTTTGGTATTGCAACTGTCTGTCTCATGTCTGCAGGCAACTAATTACATTAGTTTTAAACTTCTTTTTTTTTTTTTCTACTTTTTTTTTTTCCTTTTTTGTTTTAGTTTTCTAAACTTGTCTTGAGTAGAAGCATTCAGTGCTTGCTATAGCTTTTCTGTTTTCAGCAGGTGGACAGTGCGATAAGATCAGTAGCAGTGTCAGCAAATCACCGATTCGTTCTGGCAGGGCTGGATTCTGGATCGATAGTTGTATTCAACGTCGATTTCAATCGGTGGCACTACGAATACAAAAATCGCTATCAAGTCCAAAAATGAGACTTCACTGGACCGCTGAAAGCATGCAATCTGTGATTTTGTTCGGGATCCTCAGCTGGTCGGTCGATATCGTTCAGTTTAGCTGACATCTTCATAAATGTGTCAGGAAAGTGTAATGACACTGATCGAAATGGATCTGCTCATGCCCTTTATCAGCTTATGTTTCACATCGTTGTTGATTTTCTCATGTAAACTTTCAAAGACTACGTTTTCTCCTTGTTATGTTTTTGACGGGAAAATTGCGATAGACGTGGCCTAATTGATATTTGTCGCGCGTGATATCCAAATGGGCGACATTCAAGGTGGCTAGACACGCAGCTGACTCCCTGTTTCTCTGTGTCCAAATGGCACCTGTTCGCTGTGGTTTTCATGCATATTATAACAATGTGAAACACGTTTGTTGTGATGTTAGTATAGTCAAAGCAAGGTTGTGTTACTATGTTACTTACGAGATGCGCGAATGTGTATGTGTGTGTGCACTGCGTACGTTTACATGTTTCTGAATACGAGATTGTTCTAAAACGTAGCGATAATAACTTATTTGGCCTTATTTGTTAATTTATTATCTATGACATTGTTAACACATTGATTGATTGATCGATTGTAATACTAGAATTATTTATAAAATTTTATATGTCTAGTTCTTCTGCAGCCAATTGGTCTCATGGTCAAATCAGCATAGGCATGGTCGCAACACCTTACCTCAGGGAAGACGTACTTGGCTTCATCAGGGGAGGGGCGAGAGGGGAGAGGTTCAAGGAGCGTAATTGCTGGATCAGTAATGGCAACGGCGGTGCAGGCAGGGTCAACCGTTCGTTCGAAGTGTTCGAACGGGGGGGGTCGGGGGTCGCATTTTGTGTTCGGGGAAGGAGAGGTGGATTCGCATTACGCGGTCATGTGCTGGTTTACGTTTCGTGCATCGAGGAGCGCAGGGCTAGGTGCCGTGCAAAAAGCTTGCCGTTCTGCTCGTATGTAATATACTGCGCCCCCTCGCGGACAAGCAATTTTTTGGGAAACATGGGTTGGAGTTGGGTGGCGAGACGCCGGGTCACGGACGCACGCTCTCCGGATGTAGATGCCCACAGCAGGTACATCAGCAATCAAAAATGCGCCCGCGTGTTTGGGGCTCGTTGTCAACTGGTCTTCAGAATCAAAAATACTATGAGGCGGAGCAGCGTCCTGGTGGGGGAAAGGCATGGTTGTATGGGCAGTCGCACTGTGTATTAGGGGGGGGGGTTTGGTCGCAAAAATCCCGAAGTTATACCAGTCGGTATGAATGCTTTATGTGCACTGGATAGTGGTAGTCTTCTGGTAAATGGACACGTTGACGACAGGTTGGCGCGCAAGCGCGTCAGACATTTGGCAGCGCACTAGACATTCTGACGTGCATGTCCGTGAGCATTTTGGTACCTATTTTCCTCGCGCATGTCCGATATGGGATACATAATGTAAAGGAATTACAGTTCTGGGAGATGACTTGTGTTTTTCATTGAAGCAGTCTATACAAAAGAATTTTCGACATCTTCCGCAGCGCATTTTGACCCATTTTGTTTTTTGAGGCCGCAAAGAGATCCTTGCTCTTTAGACATAGTTGCATAATGTTCTAAACACTTTGTGCTATTAATTCCTTTTGAACCTTTTACTTCTTCTGACATCTGTCACGTGGGAAGCAACTGGCTTGGGAAGTATTCACGCTCAACGTTCAGCAGTTATTCGACCACTTTCTTGGAGTCATTTATCCGAAGAGATAGTGTGAACATGCACATTCTAGCTTTCCACGCGTGTCATTCGAATCGCATGACCCTCCTCTCTCCCCATCCCGAGCTGGCTATACTCCCCAGGCTCATGGATTCCTTATTCTGCATTGATGTCATCACTAGTATTTCGCTGAGAGGGTAGAGACAAGCAGCGTGCGTCTTCACCGGAAGCCCTCCCCCAATTAGCGTTGTACCCTTGTTTTGCCACTTTTCAGTTTTGAGTTCCGAAAAACGCACCTCGTGGGACAAGCTGACGCGCTTGCGCGTCAGGCAAATCGCGCCCGCCAAAGCGCCCATGTCCCATGCGGCGGAAAAAGCCAAAACCTGCGCTGTCGTCAACGTGTTAATGGATTTATTACAATTAGTTGGTTTAGAAGGGGCGGCAAGTGGTGTAGTGGCAAGTGGGGCGCTTACCACGCGAGCGGTCCGGAGATCAAATCCTGGGTCGTGAGTCGCCCGGGCCAACCAAGCCTTCCATCCCTCCGGGGTCGGTACCAGACTTGTCTGGGAGGATAAAAACACTGACTTGTACATCGGCTGGTCCCGCAAGTCAATGTATAGGCCACATCGGGTATCCGACAGGAGGCCCGTCGCGCGGCAAGAAGGCAGAGTCAGCGGACGAGTCGCAGCGCGTACTGTAGTGATTTCGCGTCAAGTTAAATAGAATGTACCATTGTACGTCCTACACCATCACGCGCTGCAACTCGTCCGCCACTCTGTCGGATACATGACCACTTGCATTCATATGCCATTACGAAATGTACCATGGAAGTAGAATGCGTGGCGCATCCCAAAAAGGGACTGATCAACGGAAAATGTTTTTCCGCTATTTAGTTTGGAAATCGGTGCGATTGAGGTATTCATGATTGGGAAATGTTTCCTAAAAGTCATAGTTCATGGCTTGACTGGTCATTGTAATAATATGAGGAGGAAATGCCTTCATTATACTTGGCGGATCTCCTACCCCTTGTATTAGGATTCCAAATGTTCTGAGATGAGGTATTATTGCTACTGCTCTCCGAAAGCATGTTACAGTCCAATTTATTAAACAAATGGCACGTAAGGCTCTTTCGAAAGACTTTCTATAGCTAATCGGTACGTTACTTCTTCTCTGGCCAAGAACACTCCACTTTTCCAGTGGTCGAAAATATCTCTGGTTGAAGTGCGTGCGTACAGCACAACTGCCGACGCCTTTGTGCATCTGTGCAGCACTATTTGAGATGTCCTGCAGTCTCTCACTGAAAAACAGGTGATTTCCGATGAAAAATCCTTTACCTCCCAGGTAACGAGGGGCTCAGCAAACTTTGTTATTGTTCAGGGTGGAAATGAGGTACCATGTGAAACCACCAGGGGAGATTAACATGGCTGACATTCAAAGTAAAGCAGTAGTCCGTGTCAGATCAAGACTCTCACACTCAACACGAGAATGATTTTTCATGTCTCCGTCGTGCCTCTATCCCATCGGTTGCGACTGGTTTGAGATTCTTTCTACATCTTCTACTGTGATACTAAGAATATGTTACCTAACTGGCGCCCCATACAATGCATTAACCTAACCATCATAAGCATACACTTTGTGGTTGCCACATACCTCCAGAAAACTAACAGCCTCACATCAAGAAAAAGAAATTCAATAACTTTCAGGAAGTGTGCAGTAAATGAATTATGTCGTCTGTGTCCCTCTGGTGTCAAGGTATCAGCGCTGTGTCCAATCGGAGTAATGGCTTTGTGGCTAACAAGGAAAGGCTCGCAGGTCGCAATGGCCATTTAAGAAGAGATGTATTTCACTAGATGTGCCTTTGAATGCTGATCTCAAATCTACCTTCCAAATCTGCTAAACGATTCTCTGAATTGAGTTATGAAGCAAAACAGCGCAACTGCAGTGGTCGCAGAGATTTGCATTCGCTCTCTTGTCTCATACTCTCCCCTCTGCGCGTAGTCTCTCGTTCCGTTAGCGTAGCCGGTTACGAAGGTAGTGAGCCCTTAGCTCAAGCGTTTTCGAAGGATTCTTTTCCTTTCTCCTTTTACTGCCGACCCATCTCGCGCCAATACATTTTCATTCGTGCGCAAGAACTACATCACTTTGATCTGGGACATACCTTTGAAGAAAAGCCCCATGATTAGGCTCACTTATAGGAACACATCGCTAGTGGGCGCTTCAGATCCATACCTACAGATCGTTCCACCTTTATCACGCGAAATGCGCGATTAGAGGCAAGATTCAGGATTAAATTATGAGGTAATTCCACTGAAATGTGAAAGTAGGGGTAGGAAGTGGACCGCCAGTGGAGAAAAAAGAAAAAAAATCGTGAAATGCACAGGAAATACGAGTCTTTCTGCTCTACGCTGCGGAGAAGTTCAAAAGGCCGGCAGGGAGATGAGAGATAATGTGAGCGCGGAGAGCGCTAGAGAAGTACGAGTAGAGAGAGAGCATAGCAGATCAAGTTAGCGACGCAGACAAGATATCGAGCGGTGGGCGGAGCGTGTCGCAACAGGTGGAGCGTGTCAAAGTTCTTAGCGCCTAGCGTCTAAAGTAACGCTTTCGAAGTAGGGAAGTGACGCGACCTCTACACTTGCGTACCTAGCGCTCTAGCCACCGTAAAGGCTCATTAAGTGGGTCTGAGCCCGAAACTTTGTGCCTTTAGGGCTTGTCGCTACAACCTTGCAACAATCGCATCGCCATTACTACGCCCTCTGATGTGCTCCTCCCCATTCAGTCTGGACTGTCTGACTCAAGAAGAGGTGGGATTTTGCTCGAGGTAGTCGTTGGTTTCTTTGCTTTCTTTCCATTTTTTCAATCTTTCGCCCATCTCCAACATTCATTATGACGCTCAGATTTATATTGGAGGTTGCCTATAATTCTTACCAGACTGTAAAATCCGGACAACTGTCACCGAGAACACTGATCGGCCTGCACTGGGAAGTGACCGAGTTCAAGCATTACTACGATCCTGAGTGCAGGTTAAATGTCTGGCGCAGATAGAACGAAGACAGTCGAGGCTACGAGTCCGTCTCAACGATATTGAATGCATGTCGACCTAGCGCTTCTGTGCGCTCGCGGGGCAGTTAAAGCGAGGGATGACGATAGAAATTGGGTTGGGTTCATAGTGGAAGTGGAGATGCTGAATAACTCCAGTGGCGAAAAAAGCAAAGAATCCGTGAAAAAAGCGCAAAATGGAAAAGCTTTCTCTGCCCATTGACCTCCGATAACGGACGAGCAAGCAACAAACTAAGGGGTCGTTTGAATGTGTTAAACCGATGGCAACCACCACATCAGCATAGATTGTACTTTGAAAGGAAGCGATCACGCTGGCTTCCACGCTGGATTTGCTACCCTCGCGTTATCAATCGATAAGGTGTGAGGCAGTAATTGTTGGACGAGTGTAAGCCCATGGAAGATATGATACGATGAGATAAGAAGGTGCGGCTGCTTGATAAGAGGTGCACTCCAGAATGAAAACGGGACGATAACGATAACGGTATCATATCTAGCACGCTCTTATCGCACCCCTTTCCACATCGATAAGTCTTGGTTTTTGCTGAACGGAAGTGGATTTCGGCGCCTTATCACTCCGTTGATAAGGCGCAACTGCCACTAAAACTTTACACTCCGTTTCATGCAGCCAGAAATCCACGTGGCACACGTGGCTAAATTCTCGATGAAAAGGTGACGTCACGTGTGCTCAAAGATGTTCTTGAATCGATGCCACGTCAATTTCTGCAATTGCACAATTTCTGGTTATTTGAAGGCGAGGGTATGTTCTACTAACATTTGGCCGAGTTGGGGTGACGCACATCTTCAAGGTGCTATGGGGAAGTTGAAGGATACGGCGCTTGAAGTGGAATACCTTATCAGAATGATAGAAGGAAGGAGTGGAGCTCAGGCGGAGGCGGAGCTCAGAAAGAAATTTCCAGCCCCAAGCAGGGTGAATAACGGTCGAGAGGAATTCCTCGACCATCGCTCTCTGCTGTGCGAGAGTAGAGCCGATAGTGAATGTACGCGCGGAGAGCACAGACGGCTCGCGGGTGGCGAGAGTGAATATCCGCGCGCGAGAACGTAAAGGATCAGGCGAAAATCCTCGACGTGCCGTTGAGGAATCCTCAAGCAATATTCACCCTGGCCCCAAGACGCTACAACTAGCGCACCTTTAGCCACGGAAAGGCCACATTTCGGTTACCTAGACCCCTGGCTACTGCTTTCACTGGTGCATGTTGCTCCGTGGACATACAGACTTATCGTAATTTCTCTCGCTTTAGGGCCACTTGGTGTCATGTAGAGGTAGACGTTTTGTTTGAAATTACGATTAAGATGCGGATTGTAACTTAGTTTGATTTTGCGCAAGACAACATTGGAAAAACGAAGCAGCAAGATGGAAACATTCATTAACCTGGATTATCGAGGAACAATTCGGAGAGACCAGCACAAACGAACAACTTACGCATTTTATGCACATGGATAGGTTTGGCGCGAAGCCGGGCTGTCCCATAGGTCTCGCGTTGGAGAGCCTTTGATGACATACAGTAGTTTACAGCTTAGAATTACACAGAAGCACTGTTATTAGGATACGGTTGTTTGTGGAATCGAGTGATAATGGAGACCGTTCGATGCACTGTTCTGATGGTTTTCTGGCTTCTCTTCCACTTCCTTTCGTGGCTCTTCTGGATCGATAAGAATTGTACGTCTCAGTTGTTCGCCACCTTCTGTTCCTGAATTGCTGATTGGTTAAGAAAATTGTAATTTCTGGTCTTCTGGGTCTTCTGGGTGTAATCTCAGCTTCTGAATTTAACTAAGAGTCATTTTTTGCACCTGGCGGATTAAAGGTAGGTGGTATGACAAAAGATGTGGCATCCTTTTGCCGAAGAAGGGCAAAAGTGACTACATAAGAGAAATATAAGCCTCCTGAAGAAGACAACACGGTGCTTCCGCGGTGAAACGTGAGGCCGTAGTGGCTCCAGGAGGCTTTCCTCATCCCTTTGAACACGTAGTGCCCTTGCTATCCCACTGACAGCTCTAGCTACTGCTGGTCTTTCCCGCTGGACTCTAGCGTAGCAGAGGGAGAGCAGAGCATTCCAGTTGATGATGCCAGCACTGATGTAACTCGCGCATAGCGGAAATCAACAGGAAAAGGATCCCAGGTTTAAGCCGATTTCCTTTGTTTTCTTCACCTCTACACCCTTCATCACTTCTACCTTTCATTTCCATCGGCAACTTTTCGTGCCATTAGTCTTTGAAATTCCTTCTTAATTCTGAGTTACTCTGAGATAGCGTATGTAGGCGCCGTCATGAATATCCCTTCCCCGGACTTGGGGTTTTGACGAGACGCCGTTCATGAAATCATCCTTCACCACCTTTTGACTGAGCCCTCTTCTTTCTTGCTCTATTCTTCAGTATAGAACATGAATGGGAGGATAAAACACTCTCGCACAGCGTAGACCATGGTATTGTGTTAGTGTTGAAAGCCCCTGCCCTTCGTATCGTTAAGGAATGATTCGTAGTGCGTCTGGTGTCCCGCAGATTTGTTGCAATCAATATCGCTTGACTTTATAATCCAGTTTAAAGGTAGAATTTACGATGAAAAAGTTAGTTGATTGGAGATAAGGGTAGAGGTGGACGATGAAAAAGAAACTATAAATTAGGCCAAGGGACCGAAAAAGGAAGAACCATGAACGGCCCAGAACCCGAGAAATGGGACCCCTTCCTTGCCCGTTGATTTGCGCATTGATGCGACTCTCATCGCTGTGCCCTCTTCAACACTACGCTCTCTCTGCTATCTAATCACTCGCCACGTATAGACCTGCGGCGAGTGATTAGATAGTCGGTGGGCGTTCCGCGCCAACTGCGCCAAAGGGAAGGCCATGTTAGATCGCCGGGGCATATCCTTCGATGCGAATTGTGTGTTGGTCCGCACCCTTAGGGGGTCCGCCTGTCTCTCCACTAGGTGAATTTCTCCTTCTTCGACCTTCGTTCTTATCGTTAAATCCTCCTTCAAAGGCAAAGCCCGGGATTAAACTGGTGCTAAGAGCGCTTCGTAGTGATAGCTTAGCTGCGGAACGACCTGAAAGTGGAAGGAAAGCAAGAGAAATCTTTGGGAACGCTGAAATTAAGGCCTTAACCTTCAATAAGGTCGGATGTGGTACGATGGCGAGACAGGGCGATCAAAGAAGACAAAACACGCGAGAGAGCACGAGCACGCTGATCTCACCATCTCTCGCGGTGGGTGGGAAGCGTTGCAACGGGGTCGATGGTTGCAGGCCCGTAAGGATTAGCGCCCTAACCGCGCAATTTTTGCGACGAAGCTGGAGTGATCTAGGTAGGTACGGACCTTACAATTTCCCTCGCGGTATCCTTCCTACTAGTCGGGCTAATCCCGGGGTTTGCCTTTAATTGGTGACTTCGTTCCTGGCCCTAACGTAATTGAGATCGTCCTCTTCAAGGAATAAGTACTGTCGTCAACCTCGCCTTTTGACCCACGGACCACGATATTAGTTTCAGCCTCCTAACAAACCATCAAGTATGTCGGCCTTCTCCATGTGTGCGTGAACTTCTATTTCGAACTGAAGTTAGCAATTTTTGATACTTAGCTGACCAGCTGACTAGGTTAGACCACAAGGGGGCTGATATTCAATGCTCATCAAATTTTCTAGATAACAACACAGTAAACCTACCTCGGGTATTCCATTCGTCAACTGAGATGCTATGCAAATGCTGCTGTTGTTTTGAGCGGAATTTCCAGTCTTCGACGTAACACTGCTGAGCGAACTGCGGAAAACATTGCCGGAACAGCTCCAGCCATTTGTTCTCCAGTTCGGCTGAGCTGTAAAAATTCAGATGAGCTCTCAGAGGCAGTTCTCAAACAAGGTTGTGATTCTGAATACTGCCGACGCTGAAACTCACTACATGTCCATAGGTTCCGCGTCGCTCTTATGAGCGTTTTGAACATGCAGCTTCAGTTTCGAATGAAACGCAGCGGTCGTTTCACAATGGGGACATTGCCACTGAAACGATTATAATGAGCATCGATAGGAGCTATGACAGGGTCAAAGGAGGAAAGAAAATTTTGAGAACAAAAGTAGACTAGAAAAAAGTCATGTTTTGGAAAGGGTAACAATAGCTGAAAGTGCAGTAAAATTTTGAATAGCTAAAGCGGTAGATTTTTGCTCAGACCCTTCTTAAACTGGATTGACAGCAAAGCTTCATGACGTGAATTAGAGATCTTTGGTACTAAGCGAATGATCTAAAATATTTAGAAGCAAGTGCACTTCCTGATTGAAGGTGGAGCTCACTATGAAAAGACA